TGCCTGCAGGCCAGAAGAGGACAACAGATCTCATTATAGATGGTTGTGAGCCACCATGTTGTTGCTAGGAATTGAACTCAGGACCTCTGGAAGAACAGTCAGTGCTCTTAACCAATGAGCCATCTCTCCAGCCCCAGAAAGAAATTCTTACCTTCTCCAGTGAAAGAATTTCAGTTTTCTGATACAGTTGTCTGTTCTGGGAGAGAAAAGCTAGCACCTGCATCAAAGCTTTCTGAGTACAGTTCAGACTAATCCGTGTTTGTTCCTCATCATCACACCTAGAAAAAAAAAAATCACTGTTTGACTAGGATAAAGTATTTTAAATACCCAACAGCCTATAACCTGCTATAAAGATTTATATGATACCAAAGATGTGATGGACAGAACTTGCTTAATTCCATATATAGTGTTCTCAAATTGTAACTGCCAGCCGGGTCTTGGTGGCGCACGCCTTTAATGCCAGCACTTGGGAGGCAGAGGCAGGCGGATCTCTGTGAGTTCAAGACCACCCTGGTCTACAGAGCTAGTGCCAGGACAGGCTCCAAAGCTACACAGAGATGATTCAATGGGTAAGGAAAGGTTCTTACTGCCAAGTCTGCAAGACTTCAACCTTTTGTAACCCATGCAGTGGGAGGAGGGAACTACTTCCCCCAAATGTCTTCCTACCTCCACACAGCACTATGGTATGCACATGTCCATATAAATACATACGCTAAATAAATAACATGAAACAATTTTTCAAACCAGAGGAATATATAATATACCTAGCAGCAAAAGAAGTGACAGAAACATCTCCAATTCCTTTCACTGCAGACATGACTTTGTCCAGGTCTTGGGTGTGGTTCACACTGAATTCTAGCCGGTGAGCTCCCTCTGTGGGATAGTTAGGAGCTCTGGAAGGGTGGATGGGCCTGGTACTGCAAGTTCCTGAAGAAAAAGTTGTGGGGAAAACAAGGCTTTTGAAGTGTTTTAGAACTAAAGAGATAAACTACTGTAAGTAAAATCTATATGAAGAATTCACTTTCCTGTTTATATATGTGAACATCCATACATAACCATTAGATGCTCATTACCAGTCACTATAAAGATTTGGTCTGGACATATAAAATAAAATCTATTTTCACAATTATTTTCCAGAAGACTCATATTTCAGGAAATCTTGGACAAAAAAAGGACTGAATTCACTATTTGGTTAATCTACTCATTCAAACCAAAGTATATAGATCACAAATACTTTCATGTTGATCTCATTTATAAAGACCATTTTACCATCGAGGCTTCAGTCCAAGGCCAGGTGTGGTGGTGCATTCCTTTAATCCCAGAACTGGGGAGGCAGAGTTAGAGGCAGGTGCATTTCTATGACTTTGAGGCCAGCCTAGTCTACATAGCAAGTTCTAGGTCAGCCAAGGCTACATAGTGAAACCATCTTAAAAATAGAAAAACAAAAAACAAAAGATAACTATAACGTGAAGATTTAATGTGAAGTTACAGGTTAGGATATCTTTATTCAAGTAATACCGGCCAAGCACAAGCCAGAGCGTGCTCAGAAGCAGCAAGCTAGGGAGGCCAGAGAGAAGGGGCTCCCCACGTGTCTGCTGCCCCTTAAGAATTCCCCAGGTGTCATCCTGAACCTCCCCTGACTAAGCCGTCACGGGCATAGCCAGGCACACCTGTAGGGCTCCTAGGAGGCAGGGCTACAGTGTCTCCCTACAGACAACAAACCAAAAACCAAAAAACAAAACCCCCAAAACACCCAAGCAAACAAACATCAACAAAATGCTTTAGCCCAAAATGAGTTCTAAAATACTCATTTTGCTGGATGTAAGCACTCAGTGAGATTCCGATGCTGTGCTGGGTGTGGCTCTCATTGAAGCACTGGAAACTGAATCCGGAGGATCTCTGGCTTCAGGCCAGACTGAACTTCAAAGTAAGGCCCCTCTCCTTGTAGGGTGGGGGAGGCCAGTGAGATAGCCCATTGGGTAAAGGTACTAAGCCTAATGACCTGAGTTCAGTTACAGAAACCCATGATGGAAGGAGAGAACCCATCCTGAAAGTTGTCCTCTGACCTCCACAGATGTGTGCTCCCACAGTCACACAATAATAACAAAGATAAATAAATAAAAATAAACAAGAAACCAGACAGAAACCTTGGTGTCTCTGTAACTAACCTAGAAGGCATCTCCCGAAGGTTGAGTTTTGATTCACACAGCTCAGAGTGCCCGGGGTACTGACACCGTGTCATCTGAACAATCATGAAGCCACCTAGCAATGAAGACTCATGCTCTGTTTGCTCATCCCCCTGGTGCTGGCTAGCTTTTGTCAGCCTGTCACAAGTCAAGGTCAGCTGGGAAAAGGAAGCCTCAAATGAAAAAAACGCCTCAGTCAGAGTGCCACTTGGTAAGTATGTGGAGCATTTCTTGATTAAGGGCTGATGTGGGAAAACCCAGGACCCTGAGTAGGCTAATCCAGCCATAAGCGTTCAGTGGGTCTGTCTCCCTGGTGGTCTTTGGGGATCTTTGAGACTTGGGCACAACAAAGCCATTCCATAATCAAGCCAATAAGCAGTGTTCCTCTATGGCTTCTACTTCAGTTCCTGTCTGCAGGTTCCTGCCCTGGTTTACCTTCATGATGGACTGTTAGATGGAAGATGAAACAAACCCTTTCCTTCTCAAGGTGCTTTTGGTGTTTATCAGGGCAATAGAAACCTGATTAGGACAATACTTTACATAGAGTTCAAGGCCAGCCTGAGCAACAGGAGACCCATTAGTAAAACAAAAACAGGCTTTCTCTGTGGCTTTGGAGGCTGTCCTGGAACTAGCTCTTGTAGACCAGGCAAGTCTCAAATTCACAGAGATCCGCCTGCCTCTGCCTCCCAAGTGCTGGCATTAAAGGCACGCATCACCAACGCCCGGCTTTGTTTGGTTTTGGTGGGATGATATTCAATGTAGCCATTGTCTGACTGTATAGCTCAGGCTGGCCTTAAACTCATGCTCTCCTGACTCAGCTTCCTGGACTCTTAAAGTATAAGATTTTGGAGTACAGGCTTATACTACACCAAGCCTAATTTACATTGTTTCATTTTTCTTTCTTTTTTTAAAGAGTTTGTTTAGATTTATTTATTTCATTATTTTATGTGCCTGAGTGTTTTGCCTGTGTTATGTGTAAACATCATGTGTGTGTGTCCACAGAGGCCAGAAGAGGGCATCAGTTCTCCTAGGACTGAAGTTAACCTATGGTTGTGAGCCTCCATGTGGGTGCTGGGAACCCAGGTCCTCTGTGAGAGCAACAAAAACGTTTTCTTAACTGCTGAGCCAATTCTTCAGCCTCAATAAATAGTTCATTTATTTATCGAGCTGATTCAGTAGTGGAGAGCAGTCCTTGCTCATGCAGAGGACCTGCCTGTGTTTGATATTCCAACATCCACATAGCAATTCACAGCTGTAGGGAGAAGGCTGGCCCTGCTAGAGTCAGAACAGGACATAACTATACACCAAATTCTCAGCACAAAGGAGGGTTGGAGGTGGCGGGGTGGGTGCTGCAAAAGCAAAAAGCAGCAAGAGCAAGGCCAAGAGCAAGAGCAAGCACAAGCAAGCAAGAAAACAGGTGTTTTTTTTTTTTTTTTTTTTTTTTTTGGGGGGGGGTTTTAAGGGGAAAAAGGGGGGGAAAAAGGGGGAGTCTGTGCTTGGGGGAGTTGGTAGATCCTGATTGAACATGTTAGCCAAATAATGAATTTTGGTTGTTGGACCTCGGTGTTTTGTCTCTGGAATGAGTCAGTGGCCAAATAAGGGAGTGGACTTCAGGGGCTAGCTTTAGGAATGTAATAGAACAGATTAGCAAGTGGGAGAGGGGTAAAAAGCAAAACCTGTTGGCACCATGTTTGCCATGCTGGAGCCTGCTGGAGCCCTTCATCAACTGACTGTAACTCCAACTCTAGAGGATCCAGAACCCACCGCACACATGTGGGGCACTTACATACAAGCAAGCAAAAACACTCAACAGATAGAAAAATAAATACATTTTTAAAGGAAACTCAATTATCAAATCTAAGCAACACATTATTTTTAGTACTATATAAAAATAGAAAAACCCATTTCCCCTAGAAAAAAAATGAATAATAAGAAGACATTTTAAAACTTCAAAGTATTTGTAGAGCTATCACTAAATATTGAAGGACACGAGATTTCTCACCAAGCCCTTTGGCCAGCCAGTTGTTGACTCCCTGGGGTGCAGCATCATAGGCCGTATGGGGAGAGTAGATGGCGACCCTGTTCTCCAGTGCCCGGATCACCAGGCGCTCCTTCCAGGTTTTCCAAGTTATGTGCTTCATGGCCCGGAAAATTGGTGGATGGTAGGAGAGAATGAGATCTGCCTTCTTTTGCAGAGCCTCCTCCATGACCTCCTCAGTCAAGTCGTTGGTCAGGAAGAGTGTATTTACAGTATGGGGAGGGCTTGGTTCCACCAGTAATCCCACATTGTCCCAACTCTCAGCAAATGAGAGCGATGCAAAGTCATTCAAGGAGGAAAGCAGAGCCTTCAGATCCATGAAGGAACGAGAAGACCGGCAGATCCAGGACGGGGCCAGTCGGACACTTGTAGGTAGCAGGTGTGCAGATGACAGCATACAGAAACCAGGTAAAACCGTGTCTGGAGTCAAAACACAGGAAATGGCATTTATGTAGAGTTCAGTTCTGCACTTTGAGGCATAAAGCATGTGAGTAAAAGAGCTGGTTCAAGGTCTTTTCCAGAACAAGCAAGGGCCATGTGGCACAGCTGTAGTCCTTGAGTCAGGACCCTCGCCCCTGCTGCAGCAAGGGAGTGTCCCGCCCCCATCTCCCGTGTTCTCATCCCCCGTGGCACCCTGTAATCGCTACAGGCCTCCCTGAAGTGCAACTTCAGCGAGAGGAACAGATAACCCCGCGAGCCTCTCACTCGCCCACTACTCACCGGTCCCAGAAACTCTTCTGTGCGTCACTTCCGCTCTGCCCTGAAGCTACCAGCAATGTAGGAATGAAGTTGGGCGGAAGTGGTCCTGTGCGTTTTGCTTCCGACTCCAGAGACCTGCATGAAGTTGCACGGACAGCAGCAGGTTGTTTCTTAGTGTGACTGTCTGGAGAACCTTCTCGCTGTTAGGTGGGGGGCCGAGAGGTGAGGTGCTGAGAGGGGAGACTGACGGGAAGCAGATGTTCTCTGCGAAGGGCCCCGCGCTCTGCTCCGGTGGGGCAAAAACACTCATTTGGAACCCGCAGACATGCGGGGACCTGAGGTTGAGTCTTTTCTGTTTCCGCAGCGGCGGTGACAGCGAAGTGGGCAAGTGTGGGGTAACGGCATTTCTCCTTTTGTGCGTGCACTCGATGCCTGCTGCACCCCACGTTGGCCCGTTTTGTTTCTTGGGGTTACTCGTGATGAACTCTTGGGCTGCAGATGGTCTTTCTGGGACTTTAGATTGAAGAATGTATGTTGCTAGTGACCACTACCACGGGGAAAGCACATAGAGCATATGGGAAAGGCGCTTTTAAATACGATTGTCAGGTTAGTAAGACCTGGGGTTAGAAAAAGACTGTGAAGAGTGAAATTTATTGTACAGACGTCTGGGTAAAGGGTGCGCCAGTGCCTAGCTCGACCAATAGACAGGAAGGTGGGAATATGTCTAGCCTACAGAAAGAGCCTTGAAGAAAGATGAGAAAAATAAGTAGAGTGTTGGGAGAGAGGGGTGCTTGTTGCGTTGGGTAGGATCTCAACACTTCTATGGTAGGATTTTTATTTAGAGGATGTTATAAGCTTTTCTTTGTAAATCTACCATAAAGATGAACAAGTGTGCTGGGAAAGATAGGGTTAAAATGAACTAATTCCTCTTTTAGGATTAAAAACTCATCTTCAGTTTTTCTCTGCAAGGCTTCCTGGAACCATCAAGAGGGAGGATGGTAAGTATTGTAGAATTCTTCTAACTGGGTGGTTGTTGGCTTGTTTTTAACCCCGTCGGATTCCCTGGAGCTGGAGCCACTAGCAGGTGTGGGTTCTGGGAACCGGACAGGTCCTCTTGTAAAAGCAGCAAGTGCTCCTTACTGCAAGCCATGTCTGCACCCTATTACATGTTTTAATTTTTTTGTTTTTGTTTTTGGTTTTTCGAGACCAGGCTGGCCTCGAACTCACAGAGATCCGCCTGCCTCTGCCTCCCTAGTGTTGGGATTAAAGGCCCACCAACTCTCAGCCATGTTTTAAAATTATGAATATTTTTTAGGAAGTCAGACAAGGTACTGAGTGTGTAGCTCTGTGGTGGAGTGCTTATCTAGGACGAGAGAGGAAAGGTGGATAGGGGAGGGAGATAGATGTGTGTACTAGTGTAGAGTGGTGTGGTGCCACAGGTCTGTTATCCCAGCACTCAGGAGGTTGACTTTTTTTTTTTCTTCTCAAGACAGGGTTTCTCTGTGGCTTTGGAGGCTGTCCTGGTGTCCTGGAACTAGCTCTGTAGACCAGGCTGTCCTCAAACTCACAGAGATCCTCCTGCCTCTGTCTCCCGAGTGCTGGGATTAAAGTCGTGTGCCACCAACGCCTGGCCAGGAGGTTGACTTATACCCACCTTGGTCTCCAGGATTTCCAGTTCCAGGCCATCCAGGTCTACATAATGAGACTCTGCCTCAAAAAGCAGGAAAATAAATAAATAAATAAGCAAACGAACAGATCATGTCCTTTCCCTGCAGATCTGAGCAGCTCAGGTAGAACCTGAGGTAGAATAGCAGGGAGAGTAGCTACTGTTCCTCTGCCAAAGCACTTCTCACCTTCAGCCTGGCACCAGCCTGCTAGATACTGTTGTAAGAAGGCGGCACAGGAGGCTGGCGCAGGAGAATTGCTACCACTGTAAGGCCAACCCAGGCTTCATAGCAAGACCTGATTCAATAAATAAATAAACAAAAAAGGAAACTTCCAGTAGATTTTTGTTTGTTTGTCTCTGAAATAAGAAATGGAAGTAAAGTTACCAAGCAACACACACCACAAGAAAAGAAGAGGCAAGTGAGAAAGCACTGTGGCCTGTTCCACCAACTAGGACTTGGATTCTCTGACAGCTTTTGGTTTGTTGTCTTTTGTAAATGAAGGAATTGCTTTTTAACTCTGTTTATCAAAATTAAACTACCAAAAGGAAATGGTGGGAACAGTTGTTTTTTGAGGGGGGGGCAGTTTTTGAAAAATCAATTCCTTAACATTTTATCAGTTAAATATTAATGGTGTGGAGACATAAAGATCAGTAATAAAAGCCAGGCAAGGGTGGTACATTCCTTTAATCATAGAGGTCTTTTGTGAGTTCAGGGCCATCCTGGTCTACTGAGTGAGTTCCAGAACAGCCATGGCTACACAGAGAAACCCTGTCTCACAACAAAAGAAAAAAAAAGTAGCCATTGTTTTTAATAAAGCATAAAAAATTCAAAGTAAAAATATTTTTGACTACAACGTCTGCATCCAAAATTTAGGAGAGATGTCACTTTTCAATCTATATGAATCTTCTACAGTTTTTTCCTTACTATTGATATAAATTTGGAGAAATGATTATGACTTATCTGTCAGAGCCTCTCTGTTCAAACAAGTCATCTTTAATGTCTTAAATCAGATTGCCATCATGAATATCCAGTCAGAGAAATAATACAGATCCTATAGTTACTGGGAGAAATATTATTTGTTCTCACATTCTCCTTTTTTCTAGTCTGTGACATTGCACACAGATGTGGGAGATATCAAAATAGAAGTCTTCTGTGAGAGGACACCCAAAACATGTGAGGTGAGTACCACTGTTTGCATGTTAAAAATCAGCTAATATGGTGGTGCACCCCTTTAGCCCCAGCACTCAGGAAGTAGAGGCTACTGGTCTCCTAGTTTGAGGTCCAGGCCAGGCAGAGCTATATAGTGAGACCCATCCTTAAACAAACAAAACCACTCTAATATAACAGGGCAGCCACTTTGAACTAAATTATTCAGCCTAGAAAGTAAGGAAACTTTCTTCCAGCCCACTATCTGGAATAGCCCAATCTGCAATAGTCATTGCAGGTCTAATCTCCACTTCCCATATGATAGTTAAATAAGCGAAAGGAGGGTGGGCTTGGGGGATGACTCAGCAGGGAAGAGTACTTGCTATGCAAGTATGAGGACCAGAGTCAAATTGCCAGAATTCACAGAAAACATGGGGTGATCACGATCACACTCACTAGCAACCCCAGTGGGCACACACACACACACACACACACACACACACACACACACACACACACACACACACACACACAGAGGACTACAGGGTCTTCTACCCCAGTCAGCTCCAGGTTCAGTGAGAGACCTGTCTGAAAGGGAAAAGGCTGAGGGTGACAGATTGGGATATTCATCTTCTATTGCTTCTGCAAATGAACAGGGGCTCCCTTACCTGCACACACACACACACACACACACACACATGAATGTATGTACCGCATGCACACCATACATACTAAATATATATAACCTATTATATATATTTAGGTGCTTTTTCTATAACCATAACGAGTCCAATACCTTTTTTTCTTTTTCCTCATTCTTTTCAGGAATTGTAATTAAGATTTTTTGTTTTTGTTTTTGTTTTTTTGAGACAGGGTTTCTCTGTGTAGCTTTGGAGCCTATCCTGGCACTCGCTCCGGAGACCAGGCTGGCCTCTAACTCACAGAGATCCGCCTGCCTCTGCCTCCTGAGTACTGAGATTAAAGGCGTGTGCCACCAATGCCTGGCAAGATATTTTTTTAAAACTATTTATTTATTTATTTATTTATTTATTATATACAGTTCTACTTGCATGTATGCCTGCAAGCCAGAAGAGGGCACCAGATCTTGACGGATGGTTGAGAGCCACCCTTTGGTTGCTGGGAATTGAACTCAGGACCTCTGGTAGAGCAGACAGTGCTCTTAACCCCTGAGCCATCTCTCCAGCCCCTATAATTAAGATATAAGAGAGTTGTTCTGTAAATAGTTAGCCTATTGAAATGGCAATGATAAATGGAGGAAGAGTCAACTATTTTTCATTCATGCAATTATTTGTCAAAAGACTATGCAGCCATGTCTAGGATACAGTAATGAGCAGGAGATATTCCCTGCCCTCAGCGCCTAATACTCCAGCTGGGAAAGGCAAGGGGAGGAAATTAACTGCCAAAGATTACAAGGCCTTAAGATATGGAGCGTGCAGGACAGGTGCATGCAGGGATTCCCAGGACTTGCAGAAGACTATCTTATTCCCAGAGAAGAGAGTGGCTAAAGCCTAAAAGTCAGAGTTAAATACACTATGATAGCATTTTCAGAAACTTTGGACCTTTTTAAAAATTGTGTATTTTTATTTTATGTGCATTGGTGTTTTGCCTGCATGGATGTCTGTATGAAGTGTCAGATGCCATGAACAGCAGTTACAGACTGAGCTGCCATGTGGGTGCTGGGGATTGAACTCCAGCTCTCTGAAAGAGCAGCCAGTGCTCTTAACTGATGGACCTTTATCTGTAGTATGTTTCTGCCAAAACTATTTCTCAATCATTGTTTTTATTTTCTTCAGAATTTCTTGGCTCTTTGCGCCAGTAATTACTACAATGGCTGTGTATTTCATAGGAACATCAAGGGTTTCATGGTTCAAACGGGAGATCCAACAGGTGAGTTTTCCACTAACTTAAATTAGGAAGGTTGGACATGTCATATGAAAAAAATGTTTAAAATAACTGAAAATAAAACATAGAGTGTATAACAAGGCTTCTTTGACAATTGCAGAAAAGTTTAGGGATTTTGTTTCTTTAAAGATATATTTATTTTTAGGCTAGGCTATGGTGTCCTATGCCAGCACTTGGGAGGCAGAGGCAGGCAGATTCCTGTGAGTTTAAGGCCAGCCTGGTCTACAGAGTGAGTTTCAGGACAGCCAGGGCTGCACAGAGAAACCTTGTCTCAACCCACCCTCCCCCCCCCAAAAAAGCATATGTATTTATTTTAAAAGTATTTGTCTACATGTATGTAAGTGTACTGCATGCATACCTGGTGACTGCTTAGGTCAGTAGAGGGTATCAGATCTCCTAAAACTGGAATTTTGGATGGTTTTGAGTAACCATGTCCTGAACACGTCCTCTGTAAAAGCAGCAGTGTTCTTCTGGGGGTGGAATGGGGTGGAGGGGGGTGGGGGATGGGTTGTAATTTAATTACTACATTACTGCCTTTCCTTTCATCCCTCCAAAGTCCCCCTTGATCTCCTTCAAACTCATGGCCTCTCTTTCTGTCAGTTGTCATTGCATGCATCTATGTATTTGCAGGTACATATTGTCCTGGCTAGTTTTATGTCAGCTTGACACAAGCTAAAGCAGAGGTTCCCTTTCACAGGGGTCACCTAAGACCATCAGAAAACACAGATATTTCTATCATGATTCATAACAGTAGTAGAATTACAGTTATGAAGCAGCAATGAAATAATTTTATGGTTGGGGTCACCACAACATGAGGAACTGTATTAAAGGGCTGCAGCATTAGGAAGGTTGAGAACCACTGAGCTAGAGTCATCAGAGAGGAGGGAGCCCCACTTAAGGAAATGCCTCTATAACATCAGGTTGTAAGCAAACCTGTAGGGCATTTTCTTAATTAGTGATTGATGTGGGAGGGCCAAGTCCATTGTGGGATGTGGCCACCCTTGGGCTGGTGGTCCTGGGATCTCTATGAAAGCAGACTGAGCAAGCCACAAGGAACAGGTCAGTTAGTAGTACTCCTTCATGCCTTCCGCATGAGCTTCTGCCTTCAAGGTCCTGGCCTGCTTGAGTTCCTGCCCTCACTGCTTGTAATGATGAACTGTTCTATGGAACTGTGAGTGAAATAAGCCCTTTCCTCCCCAAGTTGTCTTTGGTCATGGTGTTTCATCACAGCAACAGTAACCCTAATTAATATAAATATGTATTACCAAATTTAACCTGTTGAGTCTATATAATGTTATCTGTATGTATGTCTTCAGGGCTGAGCACTTGGCACTGAACAACCAGTTCCTCCCTGGAGACCATCTCTCTGGCTCCCAGCATCACTCAGTTGCCTGCAGCTCTCTGGGTAGGGTTGAGCCCTCATGGGTTTCCCTCATGCAGTTTATGATGCTCATCAGTGTCCTCCTTGTTCAGCTCAGCAGGTGTTCTTGACAGCTGAGCCATCTCTCTAGTCCCTGTTTTTAGTTTTATTGTTTTTTTTTGTTTTTTGAGACAGGGTTTTCCTGTGGCTTTGGAGGCTGTCCTGGAACTAGCTCTTGTAGACCAGGCTGGCCTCGAACTCACAGAGATCCGCCTGCCTCTGCCTCCCAAGTGCTGGGACTAAAGGTGTTCGAGACCACTGCCTGGCGCTTTTAGTTTTTTTGAGATAGGGTTTCATCACATAGCCCAGATTTGCCTCGAATTCTCAATCCTCCTGCCTCTACCTTCTGGGTGCTGGGAATACAGTCAGGTACCATAATACATTATACATAATACATACATAATACATAATGTACCATAATACATTAATTATGAAATTAATGTACTTGGTTTTGGTTCAGCCAGCAGCAAGGTATTTTTTTTTTTAGAAGGAGTTATTAGCCCACAGCTATTCTCCTTGTTGGGAGGATTTTATTTTTCTGATCTGTATCTTTAATTTTTGGAGAAGTGCTAGAGGCTAGATGGTACATAGGTCTGTTATCTCAGATACTTAGAAGACTGAGACAGGAGGGTTATAAGTTCAAGGTCACCAGGACACTTTAAGGGAACCCTACCTCAAAATATTAATTAAAGAAAAAAAAAAGATGGGAATGCTGGAGATATATAACTCAGTGGTAGAATTTGTGTAGCATACATGAACTCCTGTGTTGAAACTTTAACAGATTCTCTCTCTCTCTCTCTCTCTCACATGTGCGCACGCGCACACACACACACACACACACTTGTTTTTAAAGAGTTCTGCTGGAACTCTTTTAAAGAGTTCTGCACTGCCCTGGGTTGAATCCCCACCACCATATAAATAAATAAATAAATGGTATAAAGCAGCCCTCCTGTTTTCAAAATGAAATCCCCATGGAAGTCTAATGAGATGCTTCTTTTGATTTGCTTGTCTTGCTATACAGGTACTGGAAGGGGAGGCAGCAGTATCTGGGGCAAGAAGTTTGAGGACGAATATAGTGAATATCTGAAGGTATATCCCTATGTTTCTGGTTATACTTGAACACTTTTTATGATAGTAACACATTAATATCATGGGCCAGGTGTGGCGGTGCACACCTTTAATCCCAACACTTGGGAGGCAACAGCAAGTGATCTCAATGAGTTCTAAGTGAGTCTGGTCTATATAGTGAGTTCCAGGCCAGCCAAGGCTACACAGTAAGAACATATCTCAACGATCAAATCATTATCCAATTGCTATAGTTTTTTGTGGTGTTTGCCTACTCAGTAAGTGATGTCAGAGTGAAAATAAGTGGCAATTCTAGCCTGGCATAGGCTCTGGAGTCTTGCGTCACCTGCATTGTGACATTAAAAGAACTTGTCCTTAGGTCCAACTTGAAGTATTTCCTATTATAGGAAAGGAGCTTAATGTCTTACTATGAAGTTTGAGTTAAATGACATGAGTCACTGGCCTTTCATCTTTGGTTCCTGTTGTTGTTCTGTTGTTTTGTGAAGATCTATGTAGCCTTGGCTGGCCTCAAGTGATGGAATTAAAGGCTGCAGCACTACACGTGGCTTCTCACTGGCCTTTCTGGATAAGGGAAGGGAAGACTTTTCAATTGCATTATTAGCCATTATCACTCTCCAACTTTATATTTTTTAAGACTTATTTTACTATTTTTAATTATTTGTAGGAGTATGTGCCAGTGAGTACAGGTGCCTGCAGAAACCAGAGGAGTCAGACTCCGTGAGGGAGCTGGAGTTACAGCTGATTGTGAGCTGTAAGGCATGGATGCTGGGAACCTAACTTGGGTCTTCTGGGAGAGCAGCAAGTGTTACTGATCACCAGACATCTACCCAGCCCAGTGTCCAACTTTCATCATTTTTTATTAGATATTTGGATATTCCTACATTCTCTTTTACTTAATACTTGTGTTAGCTTCCCCCCCCCCCAGAAGTGCATATAAAGAATCAGTTACTAAGGCCTGGCAAGATGGCTGAGTGGTTAGGAGTGCGGACTCCTCTTCCAGAGGACCTGGGTTCAGTTCCCAGTACTCACATAGCAGCTCACAACTGTCTGTAACTCCAGTTCCAGCAGACCCAGCTCCTTCTTCTGGCCTCTGTAGGCACTTCGCACACACGCGCACATACTTTCTCTCTTAAGCAAAACACTCATACACATAAAATTTTCACAATTAAAACATTTATTTATTTCATTTTATTTTATTTCTTTGTTTTTTCAAGACAGGGTTTCGCTGTATAGCTTTGGAGTCTATCCTGGCACTCACTCTGGAGACCAGGCTGGCCTCGAACTCACAGAGATCCGCCTGCCTCTGCCTCCCGAGTGCTGGGATTAAAGGCATGTGCCACCATCGCCTGGCTAAAACATTTATTATTATTATTATTATTATTATTATTATTATTATTATTACTGTTTTTTCTTTTTTTTTTTTTGAGAATGGGTACTTTACTATCAATATGACAGAAATGAAAAAGAAGAATCAATACTATGAACAACTGTATAAAGTAAATTAGACAACATAGAGGAAACTAGCAACATAAATCAAGAAAAAAACCAAATTATAAGAATTTTTGTCTATAATCCCTAATATCTAATATTCACAAAAATTAACATCATTCCTTCCAAAAATCTTCTAAACATATTACTGTTTTTTCAAAACAGTGTTTTTCTTAGTAGCCTTGGCTGTCCTGGAACTTGCTCTGTAGACTAGGCTGGACTCAGAGATCCGCCAGCTTCTGCCTCCCAAGTGCTGAAATTAAAGGTATAAAGCCACTATGCTTGGCTAAGTAAATATTTTTTATTAAAAAAAAATAGTGTAGTGCCAGTTGTGGTGACATATGCTATGTTGATAAGCAAATGCTGAAGAAAGGCAGGATTACTAACTTGAGACTAGCTGTTGTCATTATTTTTTTTTAATTCTTTACTCTTTGAGGGGCCTGCCACCCAGCTCCCAAATAAATGCATAAAGAGTCTTATTCTTACTTATGAATGCCCCGCCTTAGCTTGGCTTATTTCTCGCCAGCTTTCCTTAACTTAAATTCTCCCATCTACCTTTCCTCTGGGCTTGTATCTTTCTCCATCTCTGTCTTTCCTTTCTTTACTTCTTACTCCGTGGCTTGTTGTGTAGCTGGGTGGATGGCCCTTGGAGTCCTCCTCCTCTTGCTCCTCAGTCTACCCTTTCCAGATTTTTCCTGCCAGCCCCGCCTATCCTTTCCTGTGCCTTGCTATTATTGGCCATTCAGCTCTTTATTAGACCAATCAGGTGTTTTAAATTTTTGTTTTGTTTTGTTTGTTTTTCATGACAGGGTTTCACTGTAGCTTTGGAGCCTGTCCTGGAACTTACTCTGTAGACCAGGCTGGCCTGCATCTCAGAGAGATCTGCCTGTCTTTGTCTCCTGAATTCTGAGTACCACCACCACCAGGCTTAATTTTTAATTTTTTTTCTTTTTTTTTTTCTTTTCTTTCCTTTTGTTTTTTATTTATTTATTTATTTATTTATTTATTTAGTTTGGGCAATTAGGTGATTTAGACAGGCACAGTTACTAACACAGCTTCACAGAGTTAAAAAAGTGCAACAAAAAAGAATGCAGCACATCTTTGCATTGTTAAACAAATGTTCTACAGCATAAACAAATGTAACACAAATTAGTATTCCACAACAAAGCTACATCTTTTTCTTGATCTGGGGACATGGCGCTGTTGACAGAATGCTTGACTAGCAGGCAGAAAGCCTGGGGTTTGATCACCAGAGGTACATGAACAAGGAATGCTGTGCACACCTATAACCCTGGCATTAGAGAGGTCCCGGCAGGAGGATCAGGAGTCTTACGTTCAATCTTATCTGCATAATGAATTTGAGGCTATCCATGGCTACACAAGACCCTGTCAAAAAAAAAAAAAAAAAAAAAAAAAAAAAAAAAAAAAACAAACAAAAACCACTATCCTACACACCAGAGCTGAGGATGGGTATTCAAGGTTCATATCCTGTATGCCAGAGGAGCTCTTGTTCTTAAACTCCAAGAGACAGATGCCATTAAGTATCAAATGAAAACACTTTAGCATAGTCAGTAGTGAAAAGACTTACTGCAGTCTTTGTTTCTTTGTGTTTGTTTTGTTTTGTTTTTTGTTTTTTGAGACAGTGTTTCTCTGTGTAGCTTTGGAGCCTATCCTGGCACTCGCTCTGGAGACCAGGCTGGCCTTGAACTCACAGAGATCCCCCTGCCTCTGCCTCCGGGGCGCTGGGATTAAAGGTGTGGGCCCCCAACGCCCAGCTTTTTTTTTTTTTTTCTAAGATAAGGTTTCTCTGTAGCTTTGGGGCCTATCCTGGAGCTCACTCTATAGACCAGGCTGGCCTTGAACTCACAGAGATCCCCCTGCCTCTGCCTCCGGGGCGCTGGGATTAAAGGTGTGGGCCCCCAACGCCCAGCTTTTTTTTTTTTTTTCTAAGATAAGGTTTCTCTGTAGCTTTGGGGCCTATCCTGGAGCTCACTCTATAGACCAGGCTGGCCTTGAACTCACAGAGATCCCCCTGCCTCTGCCTCCGGGGCGCTGGGATTAAAGGTGTGGGCCCCCAACGCCCAGCTTTTTTTTTTTTTTTCTAAGATAAGGTTTCTCTGTAGCTTTGGGGCCTATCCTGGAGCTCACTCTATAGACCAGGCTGGCCTTGAACTCACAGAGATCCCCCTGCCTCTGCCTCCGGGGCGCTGGGATTAAAGGTGTGTGCCACCAACGCCCAGCTTTTTTTTTTTTTTTCTAAGATAAGGTTTCTCTGTAGCTTTGGGGCCTATCCTGGAGCTCACTCTATAGACCAGGCTGGCCTCAAAATCCACTGCCTCTGCCTCCCAAGTGCTGGGACTTAAGGCATACACCACCACCTGGCACATCTGTGTTTTGAACAGACACTAGAACTAGTTCATTTTGTTCAACAGAGCAAGAAACTAGCATAGAGTCCAGTATGCAAGAAGAGATTTGGTGGACTTGGGTTTTGTTGCCTGATCATTTCTTCATTCAAGCACACTATTCTTTAATACAAATGTAAGGAACTTTTCTGTTATACATTAATAGAAATAAAAGTGTTTGTGACTACTTCCCCAAAGTGAAAATAAAATTGATTGGAAGATGTGTGATTATATAGGCATAATACATAACATTCACATTTGATTAATACTAGGAGAGAGAAGCCAGCTAAACCATTTCTTGGTCCCTGAATATTGGAAAGGTAGAGAATGTTTCAGTCTGCATTTGGAATTTGCAGTTGACAGCATAGTTAAAGTAATACCTTGGGGGCTGGAGAGATGGCTCAATGGTTAAGAGCACTGGCTGCTCTTCCAGAGGTCCTGGTTTAATTCCCAGCACCCACATGGTAGTGGGTGCTACCATCTATAATGAGACCTGGTGCCCTCTTCTGGTCTGCAGCCATACATACAGGCAGAACCAATATATATATATATTGTATGTATATAGCTTTTAGTAAATAAATCTTAAAAATAAGTAATACCTTGGTTTGTCTTTTTTAGCACAACGTTAGAGGTGTTGTATCTATGGCTAATAATGGGCCAAATACCAATGGATCTCAGTTCTTCATCACCTATGGCAAGCAGCCACATCTGGACATGAAATACACAGTATTTGGAAAGTGAGTGTTCTAGTCATCTCTTTCTTTGGCACATCAGTGTCCTGGCTGTGATCATAGCATAGCTAATACTGGAAAGACTGGTTGGACAACTAAAGTACCTGGACTTTAGACCCACCAGTTGTCAGCTTACCCTGAGGAAGTTATACACTACCTGAGCTTCATTTTCCTTATTTTAAGAGGAACCAAAGAATTGCTTAGGCATGTTGTACAAATTAATAGTGATATGTTTTAATAGTTAATATGTTTTCATTGAGAATAACATTTAACAGCAAGGAGTATATCTGAAAATAGTGACTTAAAGACAAAGGACTGGGCTGGAGAGATGGCTCAGCGGTTAAGAGCACTGACTCCTTTTCCAGAGTTCCTGAGTTCAATGTTGACTCACAACCACCTTGAATGAGATCTGGTGCCCTCTGCTGGCATGCAGGCAGAAGACTGTATACACAATAAATACATAAAATAAAAAAGAAAAGAAAATGGACTAGCATGATGACTGTCACCAGTGTTCCAGGTACCTTTTGCTTTTCAGCATCGTTGGTTTTCACTTTCAGGCTCACCTCATGGTTATCCAGGCAGCACAGCTAGTCAGAACATGTGTCAGGCAAAAGGAGGAGAAACTAAAGATTCTTGCTGACCAAGAGCCTTTTTAAACAACTTTACATTGAGCTGGTGAGGTGGTTGAACAGGTAAAGAAAGCACTTGTCTGTCATGTGTGAAAACCTGACAACCTGTGTCTAACCCCTGGAGCCCAGGTAAAGGAGAGAACCCACTCCACAGAAGTCCTCTGGCCTCTCCACACATCCATAATTGCACATGATAAATAAACACACTTTCTTCTTTTAAAAATAATTTATTTAACCTTTATTTTATGTGCCTTGGGGTGAAGGTATCAGATCACCTAGAACTAGAGTTACAGATAGTTGTGAGCTGCTACCTAGGTGCTGGGAATTGAACTCAGGACCTCTAGAAGAACAGTCAGTACTCTTAACCACTGAGCCATCTCTCCAGCTCCAAACACACTTTTTAAAGAGTTAAAAATAAAGAACTTTCCCAGAAGATCTAGAACTTGACTGTGTGGCCACACCTTACCTATAAGGGAGAGTAGGTGGTGTTTTCAGCTGGATGGATTGGGCCATCAATAAAGTGTGCCAGAGTAAAAACTCATCCTAGGGCCCGGCATTGGTGGCGCTCACCTTTAATCCCAGCACTCAGTGCTGGCTTTAAAGGTGTGATCATCAACACCTGACTTATCTTACTAAAAGTTAAACAAAACTATAAAGCTTAGCCTTAGGTTTATAGATTACTTGGTTTTTAGATATTTTTTTCAATTTTATTTGTATGATGTTTGAGTTTATGTCCACCATATGCATGCCTGGTGCCTGCAGGGGTCTGAGAGGGTTTTGGTTCTCTGGGAACTGGAGCTATTCACAGACAGCTGTGAGCTGCCAGGTGGGTGCTGGGAACCAAACCCTGGTCCTCTGCAAGAGCAGCCAGTGCTCTTCACCAATGAACCTCTCTCCAGGCCCCTTAAACTACTTGAAGTTGTATGTGTACACACATTTTTCTGGAAAGACAACATGTAAATCTTCTGTGATTTCCAAAGGACCTCATGTTCCAGATCCTTTTTGCTGGAGCTCAGAATTTCTCAAGTTCTCTGTTTTTCATGCAGACAAGAAGATCATTTATAGAACTTAATTGTCTTAATGTAGCAGTAAATCTAAAAAGTGCAGTCTTCATTATCCTTTCTGGAATTCTTCCCTGTGTGCTTTGCTTGTGTTTTTGTTTGCTTATTTGAGATAGGGGCTTTCTGTGGAGCCCCAGCTGACCTAGAACTCACTCTGTAGACCAGGATGGCCTTGAACTCAGAGATCTGCTTGCCTTTGCCACCTCTTCCTACAGGCTGGGATTAAAGGCATGTGCCACTAAACCTGACTGTTCCTGTATTCTTTTATATCTTAATGGAAATGCATGAACATGGCCTGAAACTTCTAAAATGTAGCTTAAAAAAAGTCTTTTCTTAAAACAAAATGTGTGGCTGAAATCTGAGCCTATGCATTTGCCAAAGGAAAATGCTTTTTTAGAGTACATCGCATTTTGGTGACTTCATGGATGGAACTGACCTAAGGCTTCCTTTTGCCACTTGTGTCCATGAGGCACAATCCAGCCAGGCCACATGACTAGGAGAGAAGGAGCACTCTCCTGGAGACTATACTTGCTATAGATACTTTATATTTCAAGCTGAGAAAATTTTCACATACATTGTTTCTCTTTCAGGGTAATAGATGGTCTGGAGACTTTGGATGAATTGGAGAAGTTACCAGTAAATGAGAAGACATACAGACCTCTTAATGATGTACATATTAAGGATATAACTATCCATGCCAATCCATTTGCTCAGTAGCTATAATAGGCCTGGAAAGATCCTTGGCAAACTCTTCACTGGAACACACCCATTGTGGTTTGTCCAGTTCTGATTATGTCAGAGACTGTGGTCCTTCTGGTGTTTACAGTGATGAAGTCCATCTGGGAGACCTGTGACGTTCTCCCCCACTGCCCCCCCAGTCTTGAGCATATTCTGTACTACTGTTGTTCAATATGTTTAATTTAAATACAAAGCACTGCCTTGTTTTATTACATGTGAGTATCCATTTTTAAATGTTGATCTCAGATGCAGGGATTTTTTTTGAGCACCCAAATTACATACTGCAGTCATTCTAATCTATATCCTACAAGTACTGTTTTCCCTTTAGTGTTCACTTCCTGCAGATAGGAGGAAAGCTGGTCTGTCAAGGTAGCCAGCCCATGCCTATAATCCCAGCACTTGTGAGGCTGAGGCAGGATCATGGATTTGAGGCCTGGCTGTGCTACAAAGCAAATGCTAACTGAAGAAAAGAAAAAGAGGACCCTGCTAAGGATATGGTTAGAAAGCCATCCAGTCTGCCCTTTCTGCTCAGGCCGAGGTTGGGTGTTTTTTGTTTTTTTTTTTTTTTTTTTTGTGGTGTTTTGGGTGGTGAGTGTTTCTGAAATGATGTTGGTACCTTGCCCAGGTTGGCTTCCTCCTCTCAATCTTTTGTCTCCCTAATGCTGTGATTGTACATTTAGTTACCAACTTTTAAAAATACATTGACTTTTTGGTTCTTAAGAGCTTATTCTGGGGCGGTTTCACACACCTTTAATCCCAGTATTCTGGAAACAGAGTGAGTTCAGGGCCAGACTGGCTTATATAGAGAGTGAAAGACCCCCGAAGAGGTACTTTCGTAGAAGGAGACCCACACCCAGGAATCAGCGAGACCACGAACTTGGATGCAAAACCGCAAGAGGCTTTATTGGAGATACGGGTACCCGGGCGACTTAGCTTCTGTGAGGCCAAGCGCGCCGAGCCAAGGGAAAGGGGTCCTTATATAGGGAAAAAGGCGCAAGCTAGGAGCAGGGATTCTATTGGATAATTCTAATGAGGCATTGTACAGAGCTATTCCCATTGGTCAATGTAAATG